CTAGTGAGGGGCAAGCTTTCAGCAGGACCGGTGACCCAGCGATTTGGCGCAGGCGCCTGTAGCGCAAGCGCTAGGCATCTTTATGACAAATGGATGCAATATTCGTGTTCTACGGGTCAAATTACTCCTGTAAGCAAGTTTCTAGCCGGTTTCATCTTGTTTGAAAAAATTTGATAGAAATCCAGCCCATCCTCGACAAGGTGGGGCAGTAAAGGGTAAATAGTGCCTAGGAACTTGCTCATGCATTCCAGGAAAAAGGGTGTTCCCTTCCATCTTTTACAGTGACAGCTTTCGCTTCATATCACAAGGACCACACAGTACACGTTTTTTGGACTTGGCTACAATGTTCCCCACATTCCTTACTCCCCTGACCCTGTCCCTTCTGACTACCACCTTTTTGAACACTTCAAGAATCAGTGGCTTCAAAAATGCTGAGGCTGACTTCTTAGACTCACAGCCCTCCCAATTTTGAAAAAGATGACAGACGACTTAACTTCTTGGTGGATGTAAGTCATAGTTAATAGTGGTTATTAAATATGAGTGAGAGTTTCAATGGAATTGTGAAAGAATTTTGAACGGGCATCTGAGTGTATTGAGACTTTTGTATCAGCCCAACATATACACACGTACATAAAGATAGTTTTGGTAGAAATAAAGGACGATACAGTGTGAGGTGACTGAGCTGCGCCACTAACAAGACGTGAGGCTGAGGAAAAGGGAGAGAGGCAGACAATATGTTTCTTCCACGCGAAAAATCTCGTCTTCGAAGGCGGATTGTACCGAACTGGATCAGACGGAAAATAGCTCAGTAGACATCTCGCTAGCTGCAGAGTCTCAAAGATTGCGGCGTAGAGAGACCTGACAGGAAACACAACCGCAGACATATTTTAGACACGCCCATATAATCCGCCGGTGGGACTGTGTCAACAAAATTCAGCGCGCTAGCCCAGTCACTGAAATGCAAGAAATGCAAATCTAGTGGAATGGTTGAACAAAAGGAAAATAAGATTTCGTGGTTACGATCTAATTACGCACGCATTGTGCCAGCCTCATGGGGGGCTAAAGAAGGAGAGCGAGCTTCTAAATGTCACCTCTATGGGAAGGTTCAGAAACAAAGTGTTGATGGTAGTTCTTGGTGGTAATTCATTGGTGAAAACAGGGCGATATTTGCGAGAAGTGCGAGGCTCCAGGAAAACATTGCTAAATTAACTATGAGACCATTTCTAGCAATATCCCACGTGCTGGAATATTGTGCTGAACAAGAATGAACGCTCAGTTTTCACCCTCCCAAAGGATGCAACGCACTAACAGTCTGGTAAGGCTCACAACTCAAAGAACTCACAGGACAGAGGGATCTAATGCCAATTTAAGTTCAGAGATATTACGAACTGGATGATATAGCAAATGTATTCGGCTTAGCTCTAACGCTTTCAAGGCGCTGCCATTGATCGTGTCGGAAACGTAGAAGGTAGCCAAGGGAGCGTATAGGAAGGGAGGCGAGCCGGCCTAATCATTAGCGGGCTGGATTTCTTTTCCAGGCCAGGTTAGGCCAAAACTCAAGGATAAAGGACAGAGTTTCTGGGGTGAATCCAGCCCATCTGAGGACTGTCCCCCCACATACGACTTCCGTTCAGAATCGTAGTGTCGTAATGAATGCGTATGTACCCTATACCGCTTTCGGCCTAATCGCGGTGGCCTGCCATGGTTCAAGTTAGTGATTTTATACTCCCAGACAAATCTGGTCTAGAGTCTGGTACCAATTTGCAGACCACAGGACTGCTTGTTCGGCTAAGCGATAGCAATCTGAGATTCAAACTCGTGACCGTGCTTGTGTGTTCTGTGATAAGTGCGACTTGCCACTTGCCACTACACCACCTCTGTCCAGATGAAAAGCAGTAACTATCATCAGTTTCATGAAAAACATCAACTTATATAGCTTGGGTTGCACTAGACATCTAACCATGTTGTATTGCCATGCTAGTTTAGTGGCAAATGACAGCAGCAGATTGAGAGTTGTTGTTTGCTTTATTGCTGGTGAAGTAGGGCCAATTCTACTTCCATGGAAGCGAGGGCATCTAGCGAGGAACGAGAGCACTTCCATTTGAGTGACCTAATCGAAGTTTCTTAGAACTTGAAAGAGTATTAAAAAACTAACCGGTAAGATGTTCACGATGAAATGTTTTATGACAGGGCTACTGAAGTATTACAAATAAGTATTAATTTGGCAACTACGCTGCTACGTATTTTTCAAGTGTTTCGAACATTATCAATAACAAAGGGTAGCTACCTGTTCTTCAAAGCACTTTATATTTATACACTGGATACCTTAGTATTTTTGATCAACATATGAATCTCTGGGTAAATATTCATTCTGCTTTGCAGACCTTAATGCGTGAAACTGTTCTATTGCAAAGCATTTCAGAGAATTCTTGACTGCGTTAAAACAGGGGAAGCTCGTTGATAACGAGATGGGAAAACCTGAAACACTGGAAAACGTTAAGAAAGCTCAAGCTGAGGAGGTTGGGCTGCATGCGATACAGTTTTTTCCTACAGAACCTCCTAATAACATGGAGAAATGAAGAAATTCATGCGAGTAAGCGTTCCATAGCTGTTTGCGATGGAGTTCCCGGCTAATTTTAATATTAGTGACTTGGTCAGAGATTAGTACGAATGTCGAGCACTACAATTGCAATTCAATTTAAATCAACTGACTATCAACAGCTGCGGTACAATTAGTGTCACACATTGATACTGTCTTGTGGTGAAGATTGATGACCTTATCATGTGAGTGAAAACAGCCAGTAAGCACTAGTCTAATGGTAAGGAAAATGTTTCGTCATTTTGCGGCTGGCCTCACAAATCCCAAATTTTCTTCTCATTTTTTTCCTTGTTGTTTCAACTTATTATTTCTTGTTCTAAAGTATGGTTATGAGTGTATATAAGAGGAAAAATTCACCTCAAGGAAAACTTTTATTTTCCATTACCACAACCAAAACAATCGGAGCATATCGGGGGATATGAGTCACTATCTTGACGAGAATTCCTCTGCTCTGAAATCTTGACAGTGTGAAAAAACAGCTTCACACACCACGGTTTGTAGGGGTTCGATGATCTATTCATAACTCATGTGCATTTCCATAGAAAGCAGATTTTCTTTCTGTGCTGATCTTAATCAGATTCTCAACTCTCGAAGCACGGTAGCAAACAAGATCTTCGTGCCAAAAATGTTCAATTTCCGGTTTTTATTTGTTTTCATGGTCCCAGGTTCGTTTACTCAGCTGTTAATCACCGCATCTACAACAAGATCTTCACTTAACATAGTATTTCCCTAGCATTGTTGCACCCTGGTGCTGTCTGAGCGTTCCACACTCCACTCGTCCTTCAAGTACGAATCATGTACAACTATCCACTGCAAATTTCATTTCAAATCCTACTTTCTTCCATGTTCAGGAGCCAGCGTTTGTAAGCTCGATTCGCTCTGTTCCCTCATCAAGAGGGGAAGCAGAGCATTTACCACTGACTGTGCATGTGTGCCTGAACAAACATCGCCGACGACGAGGAGCAGGGAACAATGTTTTAAAGCGTCACAGTCGATAATCAGCCGTTTCGCGCAGAAATCAGGAATAGACAAGAAACAATCGGAATGTGACCGTCCTACAGAATAAAGTGAGCTGCTGGTCAAAGATTCGAGAACTGGCCGGTTCTCCAGTTGCACAAACGAATGAACGGCGGGAAATGTTTGGGAAACGGGCAGAGGGAAACGTTTGAAAGCTGGGTTTGAAACAAGATTAGAACGGTTTGTCGCGTAGCGGTATGGTTGTGCAAACAGATAATCCACGTAATACTGGCCATTCAGAATCAGAAAAGCAGGGACTCAATGGTAGTGAAAGAAATTGGGTGTGAGGGAATTATCAGACAAAAAAAAAATTGAAGATTGACACAACTCAGGTTGACCCATGTAGTGATTTCGCTAGACGAATTTTGAAAATTGTTGGAATAGCATCCGTATGAACACACGCAAAATTTCTCTGCTAACCTCGCCAGTTTTCTCAGAAATTCATTTCGGCCGTTTTCAAGGACATTCATTAGACTAACATAAGAGGCGAGTTGCTTTTGAGAGCCGTTTATTGTGAAAACACAGAGGTGTAAGTGTTCATACTAAACGGGACACCGAATGGAAGGTATCACACTAAGTCACATAGGCCGCGAAAATCAATGCGCCCGAACATCGGCCCTAGAGCCCTTCGTTCGGAGGTGATAGGGGCGTACTTCAAGTTATTTGCCAAACCTGTTTGAGTTCTTCTGACTATATACCTGAAGACGATTCTGGAAAATGGTTGGCTGTCCTTTTACAAAGTAGGCTGTAAGCTTTTCCAGCAACAATGGGATGGAGATTGGTCAAAAACATTAACCTACATGCAATATGCACAATTACCGTTGAAGAGTATTACTAGGAAAAAGGCAAATCCTATTCCGTGAACCGAGTCACTGCTTGTGTTGATCCAGTCAACAACAGATGTTTCTTCAAAAGCACGTTCGTACCGGACGTGCTCACTTTCTTATAAATCAAAGCACGCAACGAGCAGATCAGCCTCCCGATCCTCCCCAGTGACCATCACGCTATCTTAAGACAGATTCGGAGATTAAGTTGCAAGTTTGAAGCATCTCCTACACTAACCAAAAATGCTCTTGAGATTCCCGTCAGTAGCTGTTTTTCTCCTCATAAATTTTGACCTCAAGCAGGAGCCCATTTTAACTGAGTAGTTTTTGTACTCAGCGTTGTAAACTGACATCTAACTAGGGATGGATCCCAAGTCGAAGTGCATACATACATACATACGTACATTCATGCAAGGCGTTCATCGAGAATTACGATTCGACTATCAGATGAAAGAATAAATGCAAAACGTATTCCAAGTGTGTACACTTTTGGAAGATCAAGGCCGACTATTTTCCTTCGCGTACCAGGAAAGGATCCCACGTCGAAGTGACCATTTGAAATGAGACCTACACTGCTGGACGTGTTTTTGCACACTGATTGTGAGTTCAAATCTGCTTTCCAAATTTGCCAAGCGTTTCTTTGAGCGGAGTTATGAGGGTAGTTCCAGGGAGCTGAACATGAGAAAACTCTTTGATCATTATGCGTTTTACTCACCCGGACCTCCAAACTTTGCGCATAAAATTTCCCACTCGGTAACAGGTAGGAAGATAGGAGAAGGTATCAGCAAAAGCAATAAAAGGTCATAAAACCTGATAAAATCACCATGAGAGTATTTTATAGTCCTTGAGGGAAAAATTCTACAAAATGTAAAAGTTCCGTCCCCCACAAAACCCGAACTCTAGTATCTCGCACATGAAGCGTCACGCTTACCACTACACATCCATGCAACTTAAGTTTTCTCATGTTCAGCTCCCTGAAACACCCTCACAACTCTGTTCAGAGAAACGCTTGGCAAAGTTGGAAAGCAGATTTGAACTCAGCGTCCAAAAACACGTCCAGCAGTGTAGCCCTTATCTCAAATGGCCACTTCGACTTGGCATCCTTCCCTGGTACGCGAAGGAAAATAGCCGGCCTTGATCTTCCAAAAGTGTACACACTTGGAATACGTTTTGCATTTATTCTTTCATCTGATAGTCGAATCGTATTTCTCGATGAACGCCTTGCATGAATGTACGTATGTATGTATGTATGTATGTATGTATGTATGTATGTATGTATGTATGTATGTATGTAT